ATTGAAGCAACTGCCATGTGATTGGTTGATTAGATAATTGCATTAATGAGAAATTGAACAGGTGTTCCTAATAATCCTTTAGGTGAGTGTATATATTGTTCGGCTTGAAATATAAGTAGTTTTCAGTGTCATTGGTATAAGGGTCAAAGTTGATTTGATACGGGATATTGATTTGATAGCCTTGTGTGCCCTGTGATGGACTTGCACTCCGGCATCCCGGGCCGGGTGCCCATCAGTCCTGCACCCTGGCATTCTGGGAAAGGCTTCTGACTAACGCTGTGACCCTGAACTAGATAAGTAGCTATGAAAGATGGATGAATTTTATTTACATGGCATAACAGTGACTGAGATTAATATGTATACTCAAATTAATATCATTAGACTCTTGAACACACAACCTGCACCCCTACTCCCACACATGCAGACCTGAACTCTCAATTGACCTTGTTTATGCACTTTACACCAGTCATGTCATGGTGGGGCCTTGAGTAAGGCCCTAAACCCCAGTTATTCCAGGAGCTCCATGAAATCCTTACTCGTACTGTACGTTGCTTTGAAGAAAAGTGTGTTAAATAAATATAAATTTCCTTCCTAAAGGCAATTCCTACTTCAGTTTGCTTTCAGTTGCGGACGAGGGGATGTGAGCTAAATATCGTCATCAGGGGTTGGCAGTGGTCGGTGGGCGTGTAGCCCTGATTTTTACATCTAGCAGAAACCATGGGCGTGGGCTGAGCATGTGCAAGATAATTGACTATATACTGTACATATATCCAGTAGGTGGATGCATGTTAACTTTGTCCTTTCACTTTGTTCAGCTCAAAACAATAAATAGCTTTGGAAAACCTTTTCTCGTCTATATTTGTTCAAGATTAATGACTGTTATTACGGTGCCCTTAAGAGGTCAGGGTTGAAAAATATTTTTTTAAATAGTTTTGCGTTCCCTCTCAGTAATTTTCTGTTACTAATAATAACTACTGTGTCCGTTTAAAAGACCAAACATAGAATTAATCGAATAATAAGTATGAACCTAAATGATACAGGCATGTCCAGTTAAGTGTGGGGGACAATGCACACCATATAACTTTCGTATATGTTTATTTTTTACATATTTATTAAGGATCGCACTGTGTCCATTCACAGCCAGTATCTGTAAACAAGACAGCTGGGCTATAAAACGTTAAGTGCACACACAAACATTATTTAGGTTTAACCTTGCCGTCTCGTTGAAGCAAATAGCAAGTGTAATGGGATCGCAAAACTATTTCAAAAATATTTTGACAACCTGACCTTTTAGTGGCTGTTCCATCTATGTCTTGATTATTATTGATTTCTACACCAAAATAATGTTTTATCACAAGAATCGAACAGTACTTTCAATGAGAAACGTGATGGGGCAAAGGTAAATAGTAAATATTAAACATATTTACTGTCTATATTGTTTGTGAGAGCGGGGGTGATACCGAAATTAATTTTATTTATGTGATATTTACCTACTTATTAATCTTGTGGAAGCGAACGAAAAGTGACACTTGGAAGGGGAAAAAGCTGTTTTGCCTAGAAACTAGCATCGTCATTATACGGTTAAATTTGGAGATTGGAGGAAAACGTGTATATTGAAAGATACTTTCATTTCTGTAGTTTCAATAACACCCGATCAAAAAATTAACGATGTTGCCTAGGTGACGTAACTGTTGTAATTTAAAAAATACTTTATTTATACTTTTCCAGTAAAATGTGTTTTGTATTCATTTTCCAGTAAATTAGTGGAACTTGAATTATTTTACTTCATTATATCCTTAAAACAAAAGTGAAAGCAATCTTGCACGTACGGCTACCCGATTTCTGAAGAAAAGCATCATTCAAGGAATTAAATACATTTATTTGTTAGCTGGCGTTATCCATTCATTTAACATAGTTTAAGAAGGAGCTACGGTCACTGAATATTTTAAATGTCTTTTAAAGTTGGACTTCTGGTTGTTGGCTATTTCGTTGCCTCTGTATTGGGTAAGAAATTATAGCCTACTCGTCATCGCAGTATTAAAATCGTAATATGTATTAATATTTTAAATTCTTGACCCTGTCTAGTATTGCGTATTTATTTGGTCACGATGTTTGCGCAATGATCCCTGCTCGTGTTTTGCTGTATCTGTGATAATGTTGTGTTGCCAACAGTTATTTTTTCAGGTAGCCGTGCTCTGTCACTATGTTCTGCATGTCTTATCTCCGTGTCCAGGGTCCGGTGCTGATGTAGTGTTATCCTGCTCTCTGGTCGAGGAGGGAATGGGAGCAGGAGGGTTTGGGGGTCTCTTTTCCCGCACACCAGCAACATTAGTCCTGAGAGAACTGCCTGTGGTAGAAGAGATGTCAACTGAGACTATCACCCCCTACAACGCCCCCACAAATCCTGACCCTAATGACATTATCTTTGAAACCAAAGGTAACAATCTAATCGCTTTCAGAATTTGATTAACTTCATCCACTAAATATCATGTACATGTGATTGTATTTTGTGCATTTGGTACTGCTTATAAAACCATATACATAAAGATACAAATAAGAGTTATAGCATTATGCACAGCTATAGAGATAACTGCAATGAAGTATATAACATGTAATATAAAGTAAGCATACAATATAGTGCAATGCTATCTTAATACAAACTTAGATTAGCAATGCCTCCCCAGTCCTGTGGGTTGTCGTTCTGTCTTTTTATGACATAACTAATAGCCTGTTGCCTTATATTATCCCATCCTCCCTGAAAGTTGCATCAATCGATATCCCGGAATCTGAGCTGCTGCTCCATGCGGATTGCAATGAGCAGGAAGTGACCTGTGAGATTAGTCCCTACTTTCCCCAAGGAACAGAGGAAGATAGCTATCAGGCCTATTTCATTGGATCAGTGCAGCTGGAAGGTGGTGGAATCAGCCTCACTTTGGTGCTCCGAACCCTTCCTCTTGGCCATGAGGGTCATGAGTCTGTAACCTCACCACTTATGCAGAAAAAACTGGGACTTCCTCTCAGCCAGTCAGGGACACTGCTGACAGAAGGTGAGATTAGGGCTTTAATTATATCGGGCTTCTATTTATGATGATAGTATGCAGTATTTCAGTGTCGGTCTTGTGGCAGTGCATGTTATCCAAAGTTGTAAGCCAAGTGCAATATTATTCAATGACCATTTCCTGTTCTTCCAGTTGCATTCCTGGTGTTCTCTCGCACGCTGTCTGTCATGGCTCCTATTGGGGGTGAGGCACTTTTAGACTGTGGCTTCAAACTTCCAGGCCATACTCCCGAACAAGAAATAGGTCTTGAATGGCGCTTGCAGCACAAAGGACATGGAAGGAGAATTCTGGAGATGAAAGCTTTGGGTAGTGATGAGGGACCCACAGGTAAGATCTGTGTATGGTATCTGTGACAGATTGTAAAACTCAGGGGTGAAATTAGCCTGTTTTTCCTTAATCACCTTAATCACCCTAATGGCTAACATTATAGAGGAGAATCTTTTACCTTTTACAGTTCATCAAGAGCATTTTTAAAATACAATAGAAAATGTCAGTATCTGTTTGGATCGATATAAGATCTCCAGCTAATTTAGTTACTTTTAAATGTATGTTTGATTTGGTTAGAAATGAGCATTTTAACATGTATTTTGTAATTTGTTAGTCACCATAGAGAGAGATGGCTCAAGTGTGGAGCCTGCCTTGGCCCTGGGAGAGAGGAATGTGTCGCTGTCCCTGATAAATCTAAACGCATCTGACGAGGGAACTTACATCTGCACCGTAATGTCTGGCCTGTTCCAGGCCCAGCAGGTCATGCAGCTCCATGTCGTCCGTAAGTTGACAGCTTTCTCTGGGTCGGCTGCAGTCATCATTCCCAGTCCTTCCCAATCATCAGCCTGGATTTCAAGCAACAGCTTTTTCTCAAACCTTTTTCTCAAATTTTTTAGCCAGGCTGATATAAATATGTATCAAACATCAGTAATGCTTTACTTATAGGTACCTTCAAATGCATTATAATGCTCAGTTTAAGAATTAATAAAACATTACATCTTCTATTGACAGTCATAAGGCATTATAGGGTTGATTATAATTCTTCCAATGATCCAATGTACTACAGATCCCTTCATGATGCATAAGAATTAAGGATTCTTTGTACTGCATTATGAAGGTATCTATAATGCATTATAGATGAGAGCTTCATAATAAATAATAAACATGGCTGTAACATGTTATGCTTTTACATTAATATTTATAGACTTTTATAATGTTTTATTAACACATAATAATGTGTTGTGAATGTGTTCATAAATTCATATAGACATGACATTAATAGAAAGTGTTGAGAATTCCATTATACCTAAAAGCCCAATGGAATAAACATTAATAGAAAGTATTACTCAAAAATCCTTAATGCAAAACATAAGCAATATCTAATTTATACACCACCATTTTTTTCTTCTGGATTAATTATGTCCCTGTTTCCTGCCCTGTCTACTCGCATACATCAGAGCCTCCTCGAGTCTCTCTTTCCGTTGATGAAGTGGTGCCTCACGATGACTTACCCCAAAGAGTGAGCTGCCATTGTGAGCGTTATTACCCTCTTGATGTCCAGGTAAGGAACTCGGCATCCGGGTCTGAACGTAACATGCAAAATGGGCAAGAGGATTCTTTTTCTCAGGTTGGCTACTGACAGGAATTATCGTTACTTGTCACTGGTTGCTCCTTATTACTGCTAATTAATGTTACTTTTCTTTGCTCTTACTTGTCTAATCACATAAAATCTAAGCATTGCAAATGACGTATTGCATGCCCCGATCGTCCGCTCCTCTCGTGTGCCACGCCCCCTCATTAACCCCATGTGGATTCCCCGTGTTTACCAGCTGTTCCCGATCGTTGTCATTAGTCCATTGCATTCAGTCCGCGTTTCCGTTTGTTTCCCCAGTCCGGTCATTGTTATATCAACCCGTGTTTTACTTGCTTCATCTATTAAACTCAGTGTTTACACCGATACTTGGCTTCCTGCACCTTTTCTGCGTTCCGGGCGCCGCTAGGCAGGACACGTATCAATAGTAGACTCCAGCCACTGTGAAAAAATGATCTGAATACAGACACTGTCTCCTTTGTACCTGCCAGGTGGAATGGCTTTCCCTTCCCCCTGGTGCCTCTGAGCCTATCCCACTCTCCAAGGATGTCTCACTCTCGAGCCACCGGCAGTACAGTGACGGGACCCTGTCACTCTCATCCTATCTCACCCTTTGGCCCTCTGACCAGCCGCCCGGGACTACCATCACCTGCCAAGTCTCACATCACTCCTTGGCCACGCCCCTCTCCCTCAGTTTTGTTGTGTCAGCCCCCAAGCCTGGTGTGTATTTTGGACCAAAATGTATCATAATTCATTAGTTTTCTTAATATCAGGTACCTCACATTAAAAAATATTCTCATAGTAGAAGCTGATTGGTCATTTCTCAATTCAGAAACATAGATTACAAACTCGAAAAATTTCACTGCCATATGAGTTTCTTTAAAATACAAGGGTAAGAATACCATTTGGTCCTTTGTGTTATTTTCCTGGCAGTGAAAGCCTTGATCCTTTGTTAAACATCATGAACGTTTGTTGAAAAAAATGCTTTTTACAGGTCTGAACAAAACATTCAGGATTAAGTAATACCATTTAGCTGACACTTAAACTACTGGTTTCAAAACAGTTCAACTGGGGAATCAAAGGCTTAATAACTAGAAGTTGATGACATAACAGGGTACTATCATGGTTAAAAGAGCAACAGCCACTCGAGTATTTCAGTCTGAAGATGATGATGTATCAATAGCAGTGACTGAAAAAGAGAGAGATCTTAGTTTTTGATTCGAAGATACTGTAGCACTTTAGGTACAGTAGAAGCAGTTTGGAGTCTGCATTCTTAGATCCTGCTTTTTGTGTTTTTACAGGGCAGCCTTACCTGATGATAGCAGTTCTGCTGGGTGCAACTCTGCTGTTTGTCTTCCAGATGCTGCGGAGTTAAAGGCTTCATATACTGTACATCTCCTGAAAGGTCCTGTTTGGAGGAAACATGACTGTCTGCATACTGATGTGTTTCTTAAACTAAATACAAATAATAGGCTACCTAAACAAAACCTGTGAATTAGATACTTTTAAAAAGGAACATATTAAATATACAGTACTGTGCAAAAAACGTAGTTTATCATTAGAATAATGAACAGTACTACTAGTATAAAGTAAAATAATGAAAAGTACTGCAAATTTCTTCTCTTCTAAAATCTTGTTGGATGGCTAGAAGAACACCGCTTGAGTTCATCATCATCTATTAGCCAAACAAGGTGTGCCAGTAGTTGTTTCAGCAAATACCAGGGTATTACTGGACGATTTTTGCAAGTACTGTGGAGCTCAAGGAGAGGTTTGGATATGACTAAGATGGTGTAGCACTTTGACAGACATACAATCATATGGCAATCAATGTAGACCAACATGAACGTAATTTTCTGTGGATGTCTAAGACTTTTACACTGTACTGTAAGTACTACTGTAGTAAGAAAAGGATTTGAATGAATTTAAAAAAACTGCATTGTAAATGTTCATGAATCTTCTCATTGCTGTGTAAATTCTTTTGTTAATGACAATGTCAGTTACATATTCTGGAATATATCACATGCTGTAGCCTGTTAGCAACATTCTGGAATTATGTGGACTGTTCATTTTAATAGTTTCTGATGCATTTGGGAGCATAATTCCTGGCCTGAGGGTTCCAGTTGCATTCCTGGGTTTATGTTTTCAGACTTTTCCAGTTCTCCTGCAGTCTAGAAACAGGCATTTAGTTGTATTGGTGTGTGTGTGAGGGTATGTTCCCTGTGGTGGGGTGTTCCTGGTACAGGCTACAGACCCATCATGACCTTGTACTGTATATTTGGTTATGATAGATGGATAGATGATGACTGTTGGGCTAGTGTGAATGGCTTAATTTAAAAAAAAAATTATTGGAGGAATGAAAAAGAAAAGCTAAAATAAAAACCTCAAAACATCTAAATGAAAACACATCTCTTTCAACATCTATTTTCCTGCCGTGACTAATTTTGTTTTTACAGAAACAATTACCAAATAAGTGGATAAATTGGCAAAACCTAACTGATAATATGATATTATCAACAACATCATATGAGCCTCTGTAGAAGATGCTGTCTGTTTGTAGTCATAGTTTTATTTTGTGCACATATACAGTTAGTCAGCCATTCAGTCAGAATAGCTAGTGTTTCATAGTCAAAATATCTAAACATAAATATAAAGAAGAATGTAATAATAATAGATTAATCTCCATGGGGAAATTGTTTTTACACCTCCCTCAACT